GCGCCCATCTATTCGACTATGTCTTAGCACTGTGTATCGATGGGTGGGGAAGGAGAGAGCACGGTTGATACTGCGTACAGCCACCAGCAATGTGAACTAATTCACGCCCAAATCAGTGTCTCTGCGCCCACCCTGCTGGGGGAGGGCACACTGTGGATCTCGTCATCCGCGACGTTCGAACCGTCGTATACTATGAATGCAAAAAGTAATGTTATTCGTCCTACTTAGGTGTAAATAGTAAACATTATATTTGAGTAAAAGTTAAGAAAACAGTGCACCCGGTTTACCCTCTCCTAGGTGATCGTTTCTATTAGGGTGCATTGGCCCTGATGCAGATGGCCTCCAAGTTAGCGCTTTGCCACGAGGACTGTTACCTCATATTTATGTAGTCGAATGCACTTTTATATTCTGCTCGACCAACAGACTAATAAGCTTCGGTAGAAAGGCAAGCTCCTGTTTATTTCAAATCCCTTTAAAGGCCCGGTTTTTAGATGCCGTATGCTTGTGAGGATAAGGCAAGCTTATCATTTTAGTTCCGCTGCCGCTAAATTCACCAAACTAAAAGACGTGCAGTTCCTGAGAAGATCCCATTATGTAAAAAGGGACAAAGACGAGTGACAATGCGCAATTGCCATGCACAAAAAAGACACGTTAAGCCAAGCGACAACAGCTAAGGAAAACGCAGTGGATTGAATATGTTAGGGTTATTATGACCTTTACTACCACGATGGTAACGCTTTTGAGTGTGGCTTGCCGCCAAATTCGACAAAAAGGTCACAGCCAGAGGTGCAGCTGTTCTTCAGGGTTATACTTTTAGTTCGATCCTTGATAGGAGAGGACAACGTTTCGACCTTTTGTGCGTACTAGGTTGTGTCTGAGCGCCGCCAAATCAGAGGATGGTGTCGCTGGATGGACTGTTTTCCATTTACCTGCATCACTCTCAGTCTTGCTATCGATATTAATATCGATTTTTGGTAAAAAGCATATTTTGGATTGGCCCACCATCTTGAGCGAACGTGCCCCCTCGGGCTTGTAAGGCTGTATTTCATTATCCCCCCCTCCCAACTGCTAGGCTGCAATTAAAAGGACACAGATCGATGAAAATGCATCCATCTAGATTGATTGTTAAGGTTGTTCGCCGGAGTCTCGAGCGTCCGGTTTCCATTTAGCTCACTACCTATTAATTTTAATCAAAAAGTGGCGTGAAAGCATTTAATGCACGGTTTAAAATCTAGGGAACCGACAGTCAGTTCTCCTTCTTTGATAAACACATTTCAAAGATGGGAGGTAGTAAGATACCGTCGGGTGCATTGCCTGTCTCAAAGCCACTCAACCCGTTGTTCGAATATTAAAAGTTGTCAGAATTCTCTTTTCTCTGGTTCAACCAAACGGCCCCTAGCGGAGACAGCCCGAGCTAGGGGCCGTTACGACGAT